TTTACATTTATGTCTATGTAAAGATCACTACGCCATCTCTCCCATCTTTGAAAAAAGTCTGGGTGTATACATCAGCTGAAATCAAATACCACACAATTATTTTCTTGTCACTTTAATAACATTTGTTGTTGTTTAAAAAAAAAAATTAATTGAACAACTACGAACGGTTTCCTCGTATTCTTGTTATGATTTTGCTGAAATCAGAAATGATGGCATCGATCGCTCATAACCAGTGATTATTTCAAAATTGCCAGTTGATTTATTGTTGGACATATTTTTGCTCCGGGGGGCACTTGGCTTTCCCGGGGGGGGGTGGCAGTGCCCCCCTCCCCGGAGATAGAGCTGAAAGAAACCCTGCTCATAACTCTTCAGAGTCTTTCACGTCACTGCATAATCTTTTGGCTTCATTGTGGTATTTGGTTATCTCCCCCCCCCTCCCCCTTTCCGTTGATGGTAAATATGGAAGGCTGTCATTGTTTCCCGTTTCGCTGTGACTGTACGCCATGCATATCGATCACACAAAGGTTACCATCTGCAGCCAGTAGCTGATCAAAGCTTTATATAGATTCACGGCCCATGCGTTGTGCCCGACTCATTGTAAGATCTCTGGTAAAGCACAGTGGCTCTACTTGAACGCACGGGGACCACACAAGTGTAGTTTAATATCAAATTGCAAATTGCCCAAATGGGGGGGGGGGCCCTTATGCTAATCTATAATGCTTTGCATACAGCTTACAATAATGACGCTCTTATGATCATTTCCTACTCAAATAAAAGCCCATTCTTGATATGAACGTTACAAAATTACAAAATAATAATAATAACAAAATCAACAACGTAAAGGTGTATTAGCTTAACATCTGTTCTCTTTTTTTATTTAGGATGGACGACAGATTCACTTGAATAATGCCCGGCGCATCTGTTGCTGGACACAATGCAGAGCTCACCCCGGAGATCAGAAACACGGTCAAGAACTATATGGACCAGACCTTTGAAAATATTCTCCGAAAAGTCGGCCAAACAGTGAGGTAAATGTCATGAGCACACACTCCTCCCTCCCCAACTCCCCCCCTCCCACCCCAACAACCCCCTCCCAACTGCCCCACCCCCTCCCACCCCAACACCCCTCCAAACTCCCCAACCCCCTACCTCCCCAACATCCCCTCGCAACTCCCCCACCCCCTCCCTCCCCAACACCCCTCCCAACTTCCCCCACTCCCTCCCTCCCCAACACCCCCCTCCTAAAACCCCCTCCCCTCCCCC